TGAGTGTATTAGAAATAGTATATTGGTATCAAACCAATGTCGTAGTAGTAATATAATGACTTCTAACCTGTACACTGGCCATCGTGCACAATACCACGAACAAGACACTTGTTGATAAAAACGCCATCTTTTCGGATCGGCTGTTCGCGTTGGTTGTACGAATTTGTTACGAACAGCAAGAATTCCCGACGAGAACTGTCCAGTGACGAACGACGTCGGTATCGGCGTATTCGCTGATTAATCGCTGCAGTCGCTCGTCAGAACCATGGTGTTGTGAAAAGATATGACGACAGAGACAAGCACAGTGCAGAATCAGGAGGAACTATTAGGTGTCGGGCACAAAGGTCTTTCAGATAAGACAACGTTATGTGGTGCCATCTCCTATCAAGCCAATTAGATGAGTCAAACTGTCCTCATTAAATATTCAGTTTGATTATTAACTTATATTAACCGCACGCTGACGACGGAGATGACAACGACCTTTAAGAACACATTGCGACGTTCGCAATCCTAATATATGAATAGGTGGATATGTTTTAGAAAACTACAACAAGTTTACAGATGGTGTAAATTTCGCACTTTCCAATACACATTTATCTCATATTTGCGTCTTTCCGTTTAGCGATTTCGCATCTGAATATGCAATTGGTACATGCGCAGTCTGACACGTTGAGCGCGTCGAACTAGGAATGGCTTAAATATCATGACCTGACCGACATTTGTAAAAGGACTTTGGTATGCATTACTATGGTGTGATGTAATTGCAGGCCATTTCAGTTCGGCTCCGGGGCTGTTGGGTCTAAGTTATATTGTCACAGTGCAAGTCGGTTAACACATTTGAACAATATTTGGAAATTTAAACTATATTAAGCTTTTTAGTATAAATCCAGGAATACGAAGCGGGGTGTTGATTAGATTGGTGTTGATATAGACAAGTAGATCACATTGCGCAACACATACCGCTACTACATGTACACAACCAATTAAGGATATACAACATTTAAATTGATTGTTGTAATTGAAATTGGTCCAACATGGAAATTGGTCTAAATTTCGACATTTTTGCAACTGAAAGTCTTTGTATGTTTTTTTTTTTTTGGGGGGGGGGTATTTCAGTGTTCTGGATTGAAGTGCAGATTAAGTTTCTTCTAAATTCCGCTGCAATACCTAGCGCAAAATCAGATTTTATCGTGATTTGTATAGCAAAAGGTAAGATCATATCATGAATTATATAGCACATTGTTGATAAAGTGTCACATCAAGCTTTCTGAATATGATTCAAGTTAACATAAGAAAGGTGTGGTTAAATTCTATAATTATTAAGTTTTCTGTGAGGTGTTTTTTCGTCACTATGGAGTAATGACTTAATGAGACATTCGTACCATATTCATAGCGGTACCAAAATGCTGTATTCCAAATCCAGGCCGAGTGGTACTAATACCATTCAATGGTTTATATAATTACTTAAATTTAATTGTAAAATCATGCATTACTTGATGCCATTATGGAAATATCTATTGTAACAACTGTATGCAAGTGGGGAGAATATAAAGGAAATCTAAATTTCCTGAGAGCTAGAAATAGATGCACATCCTGATATAATCGGCGCCATTTTGTTTGTGTTTTGACAATTTAAGTGATACGCTACTTCAAAATATTTTAAGAAATGTTTTCCAAAGGTAACGGACAAAATTGCTTCATCGAGTCATTTTAAGCAGTGCGACACATATAACGCCATATTGAATTGCAGACCACTGACGCGTGAACTAATACTCCCGACGACTACATTTCAAGCGCTTCGGTGTTTACAGCGTTTAGTACCCCAAGCATACACACAAAAGTACCTCGAATGAAATTAATAAAGTTCAATGGATGCTCTCACTGCCAACGTCTGGCTACAATTGTAATACTGTTTTATTATTTAGTTCTTAACATACATTTTACAGTGCCAAGTATATCTATTGCATTATTCCACTGACAATTTTACATGATATTAAACATATATTTTCCATGATTACTACCGCTTCTGTCTTGTTCCTCAACACCGGACCACACTGTGACATTCCCTTCGACCAATAAAAATAATCTTTAGCAGGTAAACTGCAATTCATGTCTATTTCATGGGTGAATTTTTAATCACCGATTTCTAGTGCTTGCCGCAATAATCTTGGTTACGGCGGTCGGAGATTTTCTTGTATAATTAAACGCCAGAGAAGTTATTAAATTGAGATTTTAACCCTCTCTTGTACGGTGTGAAATCCATTCCCACATTACTTACTCATCCACCCAGTAGCAATTAGGCTTGTATAATAACTCCGAGACCTGTTTAGTAAAGTGATAATTTATTGTAGTTGGTTTGAAACGATGTGGTACGATGATGAGTTGCAACGAACTATGGCCCTGGCACTCAGCTGTCTGCTCGCTGAATCGTATTCTTCAGAGGACTGTAGATATTCTCGTAATCAGCTTTTCATTTACCCTCTGACGAACTGATGAAATCTTCTACAGCCTAGAATCAACTCTGTGGTACTGGAAAGACATTTCATCTCAGCGTTTGTGATGTGACGACAACCTGAAACGAACTTTCATATCCCTCATATTATTTGTCAAACTAGTTAGCCGGCCCAGGAACATTTTGAGAAGATATGATTAGTAGTTATCGAAATCGTGTTACATAGCTAGTGGGCAAAATTCAGCTCACGGAATCCATGTCGTAAATTGTGACCACAAACATCTCTCGAAACAACTTATAAATTTTTCATTTAAAACCTAGATAAATCTTTTCACGTATTCAGAATTTTTGTTTACACATTCTTTGTTTTCAATATACAAGTACAAGCATTTTCTCGCCAAGAATTAAAGAAGTAACTGACTTATATTACATATCGGCTGAATCTTGTATCCTCCCTTCCACCCAAGGGTGGACCTTCTTTTCTGTTTCGTGAGGAAATTGTTCTCGCCATCATGGTGTATTTTCAAAAGAATTCCATATCTGCTGCTGGAAACTTTTTGTTGACACCATTCCTATAAAGCGCGCCCTTTGGTGGCGGAATGATTAAAGGGCAGTAGTCGTCGCGCCACGCATGCGCGAGATATATGGGCCCCAAGTTTTAATTAGGTAATTTTTAGGTGATTGAAAGGTATTGAAGGAGTCACCAGCGGCATTCAATGCAAGTCAACCCACATGCGTGTGATTTTCATTTGAAGAGCGCATTTGATTTTAGGAAAATCAATGTTTATCAACACAAATGTCGCACATGCGCAGCGCGACGACCACTGCGCTTTATATTACGTCAAAATGACGTACACGCGTGAAGGTAATGCCGTTCAAATCGACTACTGTGTACTCGTTCGTTATCTAGAATACTAGTATGGTAAAATGTCTAAAACAACCTAATATTCATTAATGGACGACTACAGATCAAAACGATATCGAAGATTTGAACGACTCTTGTGCCGTCAAGACCGGGATAGAGGGACT